TAGTGACTATTGTGAATTACATATCTTGCTTACTGTCCCTCTGATATACCCACTGTTTATGGAAGATTTGCACAGTGTGGTAATTTGCTATAATATCAATCACTTCATAAAATATCAACGTTTTGACAGCCGTACCCGTGAAAGTCTCTCTGCATGTTCCCAACAGAAGGAGAAACTCTATTCAAACTACTATGTGCCTTTTTGCTGAGCAGCACAAAAGCTAATGCATATACCAGACCTATTTATTCACAAGAACCTTCAGCAAAAAATACAGCATTCAAAAAATCTACTGCCAAACAAGAGCACACACTACACACACACACATACACAGATGCACACAACCCCCTCGCCCATACACCATCAGCAGCTGGAGCTCCCTCCCTGCATCCACCAGAAAGAGGGGTGTGGTGTCATTGAGAAGAGCACCTTGCCACAGTGCCCCTGCTGGACAGGTGGACAAATGCAAGAATATTTATTTACTCATTCAGACAGAGGCACCTGAGGTTCAGCCTAACGGCTCCTTTGGCTCCTCCTTTCACTAAAACTTTACAGTAGGATCCTGACTGTTTGAGCCGAAGGAAATAATGAACAAGATCCACTCATGTGATCCTTATTTGAACCAAAAACAGGAAGTCCGCAAAGGCAAAGAAAGAAAAAAGGCACCTTGGTCCAAACTGCGGCGCTTTACTTTGGAATATAGCAGAAACAGATGACCTTCCAAAGGAGCATAAATAACCCAGAACATGGGAGGCATTTGTTATGTTTTTTTAATCTGTAAGTAGTAGTCAGGCAGTGTGTGTTGCAGTGTGTGTTGTGTTTTGGAGGGGTGACTTTGGAAGGAAGTCAAAAGGAAAGGGTGGGATTGTTTTTGCTCCTCTCGCTGGTTTTTTTCAGCAACTGTCTGATTGCCATACCTTGTTTTCTGAGTTAGCGATGGGCACGATGGGCTGCTTCTCAGAGTTTTTATTTGAAATTAAGTGTAGTGGTGGTGGTGGTGGTGGAGGCGTTGTGGCTGCTGCTCTCTGGTTGGTTGAGCAGGCTGCTCATGCTGCTGCTGCTTCGAAGGGTGGAGTTACTGAAATTACACACAAAAAAGGCAAAAAGAAGCATTATCTGTTTTCACCTGACCACGGTGCTCTCTTTCCTCCTGTGAGACCTGTTGTCCTTTATACTTAGGACATTGGATTTTACTAATTTTGAACACACACACAAGTTCAAGCATGTTTTAGTTTTTGAAATACATAGTATATCCACATCAAGTACATTCATGCAGTGCTACATGCACCGTGCCTGTGACTGAGCCGAGTTGAAACATTGTTTTCTCTAAAGCACTGGGTCACCCAAATACCTTAACTAGTTCATGTCATTACACCGGGCCTGAGTTTCATGCTGTTGGCTCCATAAAACAGGAGGGACAGCCTGTGGCAGATATGTTCTGTGTCAGGATTGAAAGGTGAACTGTGGTTTATGACTCCATTCATTTTTAAAGGCTGCAAATACAGAAAGCATGCACTGATGATCCTACTGACCAGGAGGACCTAAGTTACATTCTAATGGAAATTATGATATCTGGAATGGTGAAAATCTGGAAGATACAGCAACTCACTTCTTGCACTTAGCATGAAATACTGTCATTTGAGAGTCACACTTTCATTGGATGTTTACCTGGACCTCGCTGACTTTGGAGGATCATCCACCAGTTCCACAAAGGAGGCTGGAAACCATCCTTGGCTAAAAATGAAACAGACCGAAATTAAAGCTCAAAGCTGTCCAATCCACTTCTGCAGTCCAGCTTGAAATATCTCAACAACTGCGGGATTTATTTCCATGAAAAGCTGTACAGATATTCATGGTCCCATGAGAACAAAGTTTACAAGCTTTGGTGAATTTTCCTGTAGTGTTCTCAATATTTTTTGACTCTGATACTTTGATTATTTGATGACATGCCTGCCAAACTAATGACATTCCCATCAGACTCAGCTGTGCTTTGTGTTTAGTGCTAATTAGGAAATGCTATCCTGCTAGCAAACTGCGCTAAAATGGTAAACAAGGAAAACATTATGCTAAACGGCCTCCTAGCATTGCTGTGCCTGATTACAGCCTCAGAGGTGTTAATCTTGCTTTAATTAGTCATTTTCTTTTGCTTTGTTGTTTGTTTGTTTTTTAACCTTTATTGTTTTATTCATTTCCTCTCCACTGATTTGCTCACAGTCTAACAATGCTCACAGTTTTCTTTGTTTTATTTTCACTTCTTTCCTAAAAATGGTTTCCGAATGGTGTCAAGGTGCAACAGAGGAACAATAAAATCCATGTATTAAATGTATATGTTGTTACTCAAGCAACATGCAGCACAGTGAGCACATACAGTCTACTGTAGCCAGACAGTGTCCCCAAACACAGAATCACACACTGACAAGAGCAGCTCTCTCACCGTGAGTTGGTGTCAGCACGACCGTACAGCCAGCCGTTCCTGGGCTGTCCGATCAGCACGGTGATAATCTCTCCCCTGGTGAAGGGCAGCAGGGTGGGGTTGGAGCCAGCAGGCTGGTGGGAAACCAGGGCCCTCGTGGATCTTCCTTCAGGGCCATTTCCCGCCAAGTGTGCTGCAGAACCAGAACTGCTTCCCTGGGGAGACGGCGCTGGGGAGATGAAAAATGAAATGCATTCAGAGAGGACAGTTTGTTAAAGCTGACAAAGCTGCTTAAATGGAAAAGAAGGATCTCTGGTGAAGTTTATTAAAACTACAGATGGCTGAGATTTATTACTTTACTCATTATGACCCTGGTTTTCATAACTCAGGCTTAGCAGACAATATCTTTGCTTGGACAGCAGGGGATGCACTTCACAAAATTACCCCCAAGAAGATGGCGTTGTTTTTCACTATGGTGAACATCAGCTGGGTCGCTGCAATGGTTCAGAGGGAGGAGCACTAGTGACTCTTCAGCAGATTAATTCTTTAATTTCTGTTGTTGAGATGTATCTATTTTTACTCTGGGTAAGGCAAGCAAATAATTAGACTTTCAAAACAGGAAAGTACAAAAGTGCATGATGTGCACAATGAAGTGATAAAGCGACTGGTAGAGTGAAGGCAAAATCACTGATACAAGCAAAGGCACTATGGGTGGCACGTAATTTACCAATAAACCTAACAATGCAAAATGGAAAATAACCTCTTAAGAACCATGTGCTGCATGAATATGTGCATTTCTGCCTGTATTTTATCCTTTTTTCTATATTTTCTGCTGTTTATAATTCTAAAACCCTTTAGAGAGACCTCATGCATGTCTAAGGTCTCAGTATATCAAAGTGTTTTTATGATATTGCCGTTAGTTGTTGGTGCACTTGAGCAGCTAAAGGGTTAAAATTTTTTGATTATTTTCTGGGTTCAGGTGTTAATGAAGTGATACGTTTTCTCATAAAGCCTGTTTAAATCAGCCACTCACCCCTTGATGGTATGTTGCCCAGGGGCAGCTCCGCTCTCCTCTTCCCAATCTCTTCTTTCATCCCTACCTGCACAACCAGCAACACACAGGCATGTGAACGTCCATGTACACACTGGGGAATGGCCCTGGCTTTACTGACAGTTAATGTTGTCAGAATAAAGGGAAAAAGGGCAGATTATCTAGTTATTTAGTCAGAGTGGACACACTGCTCCAGTAGCACCGTATATTGTACTTAAAATACTTTCCTGAACTGGCTCACAAGCTGCACTCTGATGGTGAATCCCACTTGGAACCAAATCAAACATGTTAATCCTCTGTTATTACAGCAGGATGTGGACTCTGCATGGTTCATGCCACTTTCCTCTTGATGAGCAGCCTGAGACCCACAGGGTTTATCTCACCATCGTCTTTATTGTTTACTTGGTTAGTAATTACAGCCTTCATTCAGAGACGGTGGTTTCAGTTTGAGGATTATCAATGATATTAATGCCACTGTTTTTATATGGAGAGCTGTCTGGATGAGGCAGTGGGTCCCTAGGCACACACATGTAAAAGGCCCACACCCATCCTATAATGGAACAAGAGCTCCAGACTGAAAGAGACCCAAAGTGACTAAGAGCAGTGACATTTTTTCTCTATTTCTGGTCATTTTGTGTCTCTTTGTAATTGTTTTGCATGTCTTTGAGGTAGTTTTATGACTGTTTGTGGTTGTTTAGACTCTAACGTTATGTGAGCCCACTCTGTTTACCCATCACCATCAAAGTACGATACACAGCCGTTTACTACAACATGCATCCATCTGAACGGGACTAGGAAGATGACAAAAACGCACAGAGAAAACATTTTACTGAGGAATTATAAATAAGAGGAATCGTTTGCAGTGCAAGCTGGCAAACATGAAATGCACAGCAACAACGTACGCTGTGGTTAACTGACGGGAGAAACTTAACCTTGTTAGTAAACTCAGCTAAAACCATGTCTCAGAAGGAAAAGCTGCCTATAAGAGCATTGTTTCAACAGAAATACAAGTGTGCTGCTTGTCTCATTATTCTGACAAATCCATACGGCAGCCTGACTTTATATATGGGTTAGGATTAGGGTCAACTTAAATAGGTCGCAGTTTAAATCTTGTCTCATATGTAGCTGTTGTTTAGAGATTTTTAAATGCTTAGAAACATGTTCCTGTCACTCTTTTGCATTTAAATACTGATGTTAATGTGGTTGAAATCATCACTGACATTCATGCAAGTCGATTTTTTTTGACAGTCTAGCTTAAATATATTTAAAAAAAAAAGAAAAAGAATGAATAGTTGCACCAAAGAGTCGTCTGACAACATCCTTAGTCGGGTGTAGCCCTAGTATTTATACATTAGGTTCCGGTTGAGATAGTTATTTGTATGACAGTTCTATCACAATTGCAAATAATCACTTTATTTTATGCCAGAAGCTCTGTAATCTCTGTCTCTTCTATTTCAGCTACAGGCTTAATTTTTTAACAGGTTTGTGCCTTGTCCCATAGGTTTGATTCATTCTGATGTATCAAATGAAACTGGGCTCCAGCCACCAGAGGGCGCCCTGGTAACAAACTTATTACTGCAGTTACTCTGGTTTTCCTGTCTGTGTGTAGGTAATCACAAAACGGATATGATCAGTTTGTCAGTGCAGAAAGCTCCCAGCTGTCTTTTCCTGTCAGTTGTTTGTTTTAGAAATTCAGATATATTCAGTCTGGCTCTTCCTCAAACAGATCTCACTGAGCTTCTGTTAATTCCCAAATTATATTTCACACCAGCAGCATACTCTTGGGGTTTTGAAAGATTCAAATGCAGTCTGGCTCCAGCGCCACTTGAATGATTCATTAAAAACAACTGTTTTCTCAAAAACTCTCCCCTGAACTCACAGCGTTGCCCAGAGTGGTGGCTCGTCGGGCCTCTGATTGCCTGGTGGCGTCCGCCTTCTCCTTCCAGGTATTGGCTCTCTGCTGCAAAGAACCCCCTGTCTGGCATGCAACACGCACACACACATATAGATAGATAAATAGATGTATGTATATGTTGCTGTAAATCAAGTGTATGATTAACAATGGCCTGCTTCATCTGGTGTTAAATAGAAGTGCTGTTTTTGTTGTTGTTGGCATTTGTTTTGTGAGACATGAGTCTGTTCTGGTCAAACAAGATGCAGAATTAAAATGTTCCTATGGAAGCTCATTTCTCTCAATAAAAGAAAAAAGATGAAAAAGAAAACTTGTACATCAAAGTAAGTCAAAATGATAAGATAATAATTGTAAATTATGAGATTTAAAAAGTCAAAATGATGAGATTGTAAGTGCAAATGAGATTTAAAGTATTAGATAAAAAAAACAGTGCTCGACTTTTTTGCTTTTCACTGACCACCTTGTAGTTTTGACTTGAGTCAGTCACTAATTTGGCTGTTTATCTCATCTTTATCTAATAATCTCATGATAACTCAGTGATTTATTATAATCTCATCCTCATCCTCCTCATTCTTGTCCTAACATGTGGAAATGGGCTTCTGGCTTGGAAGCTCATTTAATTATTTGTCTGTGTGATTCATTTTGTAAATATGTTAGACTTCATACACTAGTAAGCTCAGTGGGCCATTATTGTCCCACAGACCTCTGTTGTCATGTTACGCTAATAAACAGCATATTGCTTAACAAAAAAACTCAACCTTTCAGACTGGACTTGAACAGTGGCCTCCTGTGGGAGATTCCATGTTAAGCGCCTACTGAGCCATAAGAATTGTCCTGATAACAAGTGATAAGGGGCCATTGAGTGGTGGAGCAACATCTGGTACCTGAAACAAATCAACACTTGTTGCTATAGTACTAAAAAACTGGTGCGGTGCCAAAGGGCTGGATTATGACAAACAACCAGGCTACAAGTTCCTCAAAATGGCGATGATGCAGGTTGTGAGTATAGCTCTGTGTTGTGGCTCAGCCTCCTTATGACGGGGGGGATATCCCTACAGTGACCAATAAAGTCTCACATCATTGTTGCACATTGTTGTGAAAGCTCTTTTGAGTGTCTCTCAGTATTTTTCTGATGTTCACCGGAGAGTGTTGCACAAGAAACCAGATCTATTTGGCAGTTGTGGTCAATAAGCCAACGCCGACCATACAATATTTACATTGAAAATGCTATTTGAAGGAAGCTGTATACCTTATCCATAACATGAATGATGGACTGAATGAATCCACAGTGTTTCTCAGCCAGGAAGCGGTATCTCCTCTCCTCCTCCTTTAGAGCCTGTTCGTGGCTCGCCATGAGGAACTGCACATACTCGCTACTGTCCTGAGGATGCACATAATTGATAGCACATATATTTACTGTGCAAGGACACATACATGTACAGTGGTACAGTGGTGGTCATACCTGGCTGGCTCCTGTCCTCAGCTGCCTCTGCAGAGATGCCGCCTGGTTGTGGACTTCCAGCTCATAGTGTCTCCTACTGCTCTGTGTGGTAGGGGTACAGGTGTGTAACATCACCTCGGTTAGCCACGTACTGTGTGAGGGTGTACTCAGTGGGTATGTGAGGTACCAGCCAGACGTTTTAGAACACCTGCATTTTTCCAGGTGTTATCAGCCAAACACACCTGTGTCGTTCTCTCTACATGTGAAATCAAAGGTACTTGTGACAGACAGCGCTGTAGCAGATGTTCTCACAGGTGAGCTGCACCTGTAGACTGCTTTGCTTTCGCTCGTCACCTGGAAAGACTGGACACTGTGTTGCCGTTCCATCATTTGTCTTTGTCCAGGCTCATTATCCTGCTGTGGGATGAAACCCTGAGAAGCTCCCACTTCCTGTGTTCACGGCCTTTTCTCACATGAGGGTGTGGTGAAAGTCTTATTCAACGCTGCCTTTGTACAGAGAGAATTTGGGACACTTGTCATCAGTTTTAAAGGCTTCATTGATATATATTTTCAGTCTTTGGTGGCATTGTATTTTATTTTTTGACCTCTAGCAGTTTAGCTTAAGGTTTTTACTGGACTTGATCTGCTTACTGTTCATGTTAGAATAAAAACTGGTGAAATGGGGGTGTTCTAAATCTACTGACTGGTAGTCTGAGTGTTGTGCTCTATTGGGCTGTAGTCACTCATTAGATAAATGACTCCAGGGCCACACAAAATATTTGTAGGTCCATAACTATTCCTGTGATTCTCTGCAATTGTTCTTTTAATCCCTGTTCCAGGACATAATTGTGAGATAACAGTTAGTCTTGGGCCTCGCTCACTGATAAGTAGTCTTTGTCCAGTCTGATGCTACTGTCCATTTCATGAAGAACCTCCATACCGAACCAGCGGAACTAGAACAAAATACACAATCGTATTAAACACACAAGAAAATGGACCACGCTTGAATGTTGTGATGGACAGATTAGTGTTGGTAGAACTTACTACTCCCTCCAGCTCCAAGGTGAGTCTTCTTTGGCTTTCAGAGATCTGAATCAGGACGTCTCCTTACAAGGACACATTAGAAAACAATAGACAGCGTGATATAGCAAAATCAGCAATGTCATATCTTTGCTTATCCCATCTCATTAACTCATGACATCATTTGTGGTTTTATCTCTTAAACACTCACATACAGAACACACACACACACACACATCCACACACATTCTCTAGATAACACACATATCTACCCATGACCTGTCTTTGATGATAGACAGAAGTTTGATGGACTATTGTGTTTGCAAGCTGTGTATGCTTCAAGCTGTTCTGTAAATGTTAATTTGACAGCATCTGAACTGTATGCAGGGATTAGGAGACGTTTCACTGTGCAGAACAAATATGTTTTGTTGAATTTTAACTTTGAATCCTTCAGTTCTCTTGCAGAAATCTAATTAGACAGTTCTGCCACATTCTTGAACTTGACTTGACCTGAGCCCAGTAGAAGATTTGGTTCAGTCTGAGCTCCAGGTGAAAGGCTTCTCAGCTTTATTGGTACTAACTGTATTAGATACTGTGAAATACATGTATTCATTATCTTCTCGTGGAATATTGTACAAACACACAGTAATTGTAAAAGATGTAATAAAGCGCAGCTTGAGGGTAAACTTTGGTCGGCACCATATGAAGTTTAATTAGTTTAATAACTGGTCATAAACACATCAAAGACAAAATGCAGACAGTATTGTGCATTGTAGGTACAGAAATACCCTTGTATTTCCACCTGTCCTGAGATTTCACAAGTCAGCTGTGTGTGTGTGTGTGTGTGTGTGTGTGTGTGTGTGTGTGTGTGTGTGTGTGTGTGCACATACCTAGGGAGCTTGAGGACATTGTGTAGAAAGCCTTCTCTCCAATCTGTGAAAGTGCACTGAAGTAAGCCTCGCTGGTTACAGCTAGAGCTGAAACACACAAACACAAGTAGTCATTTGAAATGCAAATTCTTTTGGTGCAATTCAGTCCCTGTAATTAAACTACAGAAGCTGGTAAACAAAGCCATTAATTACAAAAAAGAAACTAATAGTTAAAATTTCCATATACACAAATATGTCTCTGCAATCATTTGTAAATACTGTGTAATATTATAATCAAGAGCAGCATGAAATGACATCTGTCTGACTAACCATGAAGGCATTTCAGTCCCCTGCTAGTGCTTTATTTCTACTGACCTATAAAGGCTAAATACAGTAACTACTAGTAGTATTTAGTAAAAAAGATAGTTCTGACTTCTTGATGTTTTAACATGCATTTCATATGTCAAATGTACATATTAAGAAACCAAAACCGGTCAACGCTACAATGGAGAAGTAAGGAAGCCAAATCCAGTTCAAGCTAGCTATGAGACAGCCTTGACTAAAGCCAGGGGTGGATCTAGAAGATTTTGGACAGGGTGGCCAGGTTGGGGGACAGACTCAGAGAGGGTTGGCACATTTGGAATACATCTACAAAGTAAAATAAACCCCTAGTTTTTTTAAATAATAAACCATATCAAATTGTCTATTCTGAGACACACATGGTGCCTTCTTTAGCTAACTTTGGCTGTGTTCCTCATTTACTCCTGGCCAGGGACATCACTGCTGCACAGTGGTCCCCCATTGAAATGAGAGCAAATATCATTGTGCATGCATGATATAAAATAAATTTGACCAATATCAATTATAAAGTGCCAGAAAAATGTTAGTTGTACTTTAGTTGTACTGACTAACGCTAAATTTCCTTACCATTTACCTTAGCTGCTTCCTGTAATTGAAATGCATTAATTTTGATAAACCAGCATCTTAGTAATTTAGTTTGTTATTCAACATAGTAACTAAATTTAGTCATGGAGAATTAAAAACAGCTGCACTAGTTATGCTAAACAGACTAGCCTAGGTTAGCAGAATGGCGCTAACTGGCAGCCTCGCTCATTTTGACTCTAGTGTTTTTTTTAATTGAATATTTTAATGTTTTGTATTGTAAAATATTTTACTCTGACACAGCCTTCAAGCAGGTGGCAGCAACAATGTTGCCTGTATTTTGTCTTTGCAGGACTTTTGGTGCAGAGGTGCTGCTATGAAACAGCTGTTGATGTAGCAATAGTGCTCTTGCATATTTTAAACAAACACATACAGTATAAGGTGTACATGCTCAGCCATGTAAAGCTGCTTCTCTGTTAGCATTTCAGAACTTTAAAATGCGTTTATGTTTAATGCATCACACAGGGATTAGAGGTGATTATGGTATGGATAATTAAGGCAAAAAAATGCAGACACCAATGCCTGTACATATAGGTTTAATCCTGGCTCTGGAATGAGCCGTTCTCTTCCTTTTGGGACTTGGATAGAGAGCACAGAAAATCAAGTCCAGGTGACGTTCAGTATTCCAGGTCCCTGCCTCTGCACATAGAAATGTACCTCCTCCTCCTGGGCTCCTCGTCTGTTGACAGTGCAGCCATAATATCTTGGTTAGAGGCTCATAACCGAGGATATCCTCAAAGTATATGGACTTAACCAGGGATGCATGACAGCTCCCATATTGTGTTACTGCCACTAGAGTTTGTTTATAGCACTTATAAAGACAGGCGTGTGAATTTCACACACCCGAGTAAAAGTGAGAAATTCTCATCAATAGATTTCTTTCTTACCCTTGAAAGCCTGGACATAGCTGTTTCCCAGTGAAACCAGTTTTTGTAGGCTTGGGTTAAGCTCATCCATCAAGCTCTGTTTTGAAAACACACACAAATGTACACCACAGACTGGTGAATTATTCAGTCAGGGGAACTTCAATACCCACCTAAAGTAGACTGAGCTTTAATACAATCTGTATTTATGGGCACAGACTCTCCCACCAACACTAGAGCACTGAGAATGAAATCCCCCTTGTTATGAAGTGAAGCACATAGTCCTCGAATTTCAACCTGACTTTGTGAATTCACATCAGTTGTGATTGGCAAGAAATTACATAAACTAAGCTTCACTCCTTATCAGCAATACAGTGTCCCACTTGAAAAAAAACTCTCAACTCCCAGAAAGACCTTTGTTACCCACATCACCGCTCTGGTTATTGCACCCATCTGCCTCATGGGTGCTTTCTATTAGAGCCACTGGCCCAAACAAAGTGTCTGTTACTTACCGAGTAAATCCCCAAGGTGGAACGATGCAGCCGATCGCTATTCATCGCTGACATGTTTCTATCCAGAATAGTGCAGCTGTCAGTGAAACCTTGAAACCTGTGGGTCTTAAATCATCTAGCAAATGTAGCAAAGCCTGTGAGAGAAAGCGAGTTGACTGTACTGGACTGGACGTGGAGTTGAGGAGAGGAGGTGGCTCGGCGTGGTGGTAATCGACACCACTGTGGCCTGAGAAAGACAGGGGTAAATAATTAAACATGGCTTGCCCATAAAACACACTGACGTATGCTGTAAACCTTGACTGTGTGTGTGTGCCTATCCTTGCTATGAAGTGAGGACCAAACAAGTATTTTTTGCTACAGAGTGAAGACATTTTATCTGATCCTCTCTTTCTGAAACAGTTTTTTGAGGGTTAAGATTTGGTTTTAGGGTTCAGGTTACGGTTAGGCATTTAGCTCTGAGGATTAGGGTAAAGGCCTAGGGAATGCATTATGTCAAGGTGTGGCCTCACAAAGATAGAAGTACAAGTGTGTGTTTTATTGAAGGCTATAACAGAATTGTTTTCACTATGAAATGAATATGTTCCTACATATAAAGATAAAATGATGATTTTAAAAAATAAGACTGGAATCACTGTATGTTTCCTTACTGTAAATAAATCCCACAAAAATACCATTTTTTGACAGTCTTACTCTCATTCAGTCTGTGGCTCTCATTTTAGGAATGGGTCATGAATGTCCATCAGTGGCTTATCTGGGGTCCCTCTCCCCAGCAACGCTCTCCAGCTCCTCCTGGGGGACCCCAGGGGGAACCCAAGGCATTCCCAGGCTCGAAAAGATGTACAGTATAAATTCTCCAATGTGTTCTGGGTCTAACCTGGGGCCTCCTACCAGCTAGATGGGCCTGGAAACCTTTCAATGGAAGGCGCCCATGATGCCCAGACCACCTCTACTGGCTCCTTTCCACACGGAGCAACTGCTCTACTTCGACTTCCACCAAACTCTGCACCCTGTCTCTAAAGGTATGTTCACCTTATAGCGGAAAATAGCTTTTGAGTGCACCTTGTCGTGGTTGTGTGTGTGTATGGTGGAGCACTGAAAGTTCACATTAGTTGAACTTTGACCCCAGTTGCGCTGACCTCTGTGCCGATCACTGTTTCGCCCTGGCTTTGCCTGTACTCAGAGAAGCCCAGTATGTAACTAACGTTTCAGAATGTTCCCCAACTGTACAATATTATGATCCTTATGCCGAGATCAGGTAAAGACATACAACATATTTAGCTGGCAAAACATTTGCACCCAAGTGCTGCTGCAAGACTGTTTAAAAACACTCTCTTCCTCTAAAACGTAACATTGTTGATCTACTGCTAGCAGCATCGTAGCTGTGGCCATTTTTACAGCGTCTCTGGGAATTTCTATCTGAGTTTCGGCACCAACCAGCATGGAACTCGTAGCACGAGACCCTTATTTTTCCATATGGAGGAAATCCATTTTGACCACTTGCATTCACTGTCATGTTCTTTCGGTCACTACCCAAAGCCTGTGACCACAGCTGAGGGCTGGAACCTAGATTGATTGGTAAATCAGAATCAGCTCTATTGGCCAGGTGTATCGCACACATGAGGAATTTGACTCTCAATGTACATGTACATATCTCCATGCAAGGGGCAAGTAAACGGCAAACCAACATAGCTGAAAAAACTTAGAAAAATCAACTGGACTAGGTTTTTGAGGTCGAAGATGTTTCACGTCTCATCCAAGAGGCTTCATCAGTTCAGTAAACCAACATAAGGCTGTGTAGTATAACAAAATAAACAGTATTAACAAGTCATGAGTAACCAAGGCTGCCATCGCTGTCGGCGCCATCTTGAAATTGAAAAGCTTTGACTTTGGGTTCGGCTCCGTCTTCACCACATCAGTCCAGTACGACTCCTGCATCCTGCTGGCACTGCACCCGTCTGCCTGTCAATCAAGTGAACCTGAACATTTACAGTATATGATGTCATCATTACTCAGAGGAGTAAATGGTGTTTGTTGGCACCTTTTTCCATCTACAGATGAACACATTGGGTTTACTTGTGAGAATTTAGGGTGTCAGGAGTACAGAGTTTACAGCAGCCCTGATCTCACTGTGGGATACTGAGCGTTTGAATTTCCCATTTCAGAGTATTGTATGTGGCTGGAGGAGAAACATGAAGCCTTTCCTTCCTGTCGCTGTTAGACAGCAGATATAAAATACCACCAGACTCGTCTTTTAGTGTCAGTTCTTCAGACATGGGAATTACACTCAAAGGTGCCACAAAGAAATCTGACGTGTGTGAACAACTTGTTCTTGCCCATAAAAAGTAGTAATGTAACTATGCAGTATGGAGACCTAAGTGCCTGAAAAGGACCTGTACAGGTACAGTAGCTGTGGAGCGTAAATGAGTTGTTCATGTAGGAAAACATAGAAGGAAATGTCTTTCAAGCAATAGCCCATCTATCCAATATATCTGCAGTAATGCTTTGTCACGGGTCAAATAAATAAATGTGTCTGTGTTTAGCCATTTGTGTGTCCTCTTTCCAAGTCTTCCTGTTAAGATGAGGTTGTGTGTCTCAGGCGCTTCCTGTTTTCTGGCACATGGAAGTTGCTTGACGTCTTCCTAGATTCATGTTCATCATATGTGGTATGTTTATCATGTAGCTCCCTCGTCAGTCAGATTTTCTATATTACTTCCTTTGTTATTTCAGTATATTCTGTTCACATGTCATCTAGGGCATGTTGGTCCACCCTTAAAGACGGAGCCGTCCTTTATTACGCCTCCTGAGTTTTCCTAGTTTTTCCTCATCTGAATCAAGGGTCTAAGGTTTTAGGGACTGAACATGAAACCGTTGTGGATTTACTCGATCCCAATCCTTTTTTAGAGTAATATTTCTAATATTCCTCATTTTTGATTGGTTAAGAGTTCAGTGCTCCTACAGTGTGTGCTGCAAATCCTATAATTCTTGCACTTTAATCATGTTCAGTGTCAAAACCTTACTAGTACACACTGCACAGGGCAAAGAAGCAGCAGTGGTTTATTGACGCTTTATATGATGTAGTTGGTTTAAAACCATAATTGAATGAATCTTAAGCTTTGATTGTTACCGTCTGTTTTGCATAGGCCTCAGTTTACGACACTAAATCATAAGAACTACCGACTACTTTCATCCATCACTTGAGAAAAGATTCTTCCACCAGTGATTCACAAAATAAGACAACAGTGAAAACCACTTATTACAGAAAGAGATGGCGAGAGAGTTGCTCGGACATATTTGATCAAAACCTCACATGAGTGAACAGAAAGTTATTGATTCTGATATTGATTTCTTTCCTTACTTCAAACGCCATATTTTGCCACCGGGTTTGATACTCAAGACTCCTGTGGCTGAGCTGAAACGCACGCTGCTGTGCACCGCACTAGGCCCACGGCGCTGATGGATTTATTATCAAACTGTAGATTGCTTCTTTGCCTGGCTTGTCAGTCGGTGAACTCCCCATGGACCTGCAGAGACGTGCACGGATGCCGCTGTGTTCCCTTTGTGAATGCATGAAGAATATGAATGTGTTGTTTGTTTTGAAGCATATGTGCGAGAGAATCTAGACAAAGTAAAGAAATGAGCAGGGTTCGTTTTGCTTCCTGGGTAATTGATTATCGTCCCTGGCAGAGAGAGCGAACCTACAGTAGATGGCACCATAAACTAACTGGAGGCAGGACTGGAATTTTAAACAGCTCTGTAACACACACACTCTCCATTTGTTTGCTCTTTGTCTTTTCTCTTAATTGTGTTATATTAACTTTGCTTCAGTGCTTCAGCACAGACACTCACTTTCTGACAGCACAAGGATATAAATGTAATAAGTGAAACACAGATCATCAGCACTGGAGGAAGTGTTTAGATTCTAACTAAAAGGAGTGTACTGCAAAATAAAAGTACTGTCTTACACTGAAAAAGCTTAAGTTAAAGTATTCTGTATGCAGCTGAATGTACTCTGACAGTGTTTTACCAGGGTGAAGACAGGAAGCAGCTACTTTTTACTATTTTAAATACTGTTACTGGGTAGTTTATTACTATTCATCATGTCTGATCAACATCGTGCTTTTTTAATGTACAATCCTCAGCTGCAAAGGAACTAGATGAGGAGTAAATATTTACAGCAAGTCCCTCTGAGATGTAATGGAGCACACATGTAAAGTGGCATAATGTAGAAATACTCAAAGTACACGTAGCTCTAAATGTACAGTACTTTCCAGCGCTGTTGCCCATTTGTAGTTCTTCAGAGTACAGATGTGTTGTAAATTCTCCTGCCACATTGGACAATCAAATGGAAACAACAGCTAGAAAGATCGGATGCTACCAGAAGAAGATGAAATCTTAAATTATTGCAGAAATACTTCTTTGTTTTCACTGAGCTACACAGAAAAAGGTTGTTCTCGCTTCCACAATTCAACAGGTTCTGGATCAGTTCCTGCAGGTAGCTGAAGACGTTGATTGATTGATTGATTGATTTATTCTTTCTTTCAAGCATGTAAAAACAGTTGATATGTCAACACACATAATTTTACACATATCCAACAAATGCTAATCCAATATCAATTTGCTTATACCTAGTACAAGCTTGAATGGAGTAGGAAGAAGTCAGACTTGTCATGGGGTAGGACTGGATATCATCTTACCATCATTGGTTTGCAAGCAGTATCTCTACATAGATAATTCTCTTCTACACCACACAAGTAATATACTAAAGAATTATTACAAAGTGTTAACATTCATACACCACACCCACAATGTTCCATCTAATTAATCATTAA